CCTGCAGAAGGGGTTGTAAATTCTTCTCTTTTTCTCAGTGAGAGAAAAGAAAACTTAATTTATAGCTTTTTGGATTTTAACTGTATTATCTGCAATGGTAGTAACTTTTGATTTTGGTTACTGAAAGTATTCTTAGAACGTAGAGCTAAAAACTTGAAGTTAATGTTCATTTTTGTAGAGCAAATAAGGCTTTTGATTACTTTGCTAGTGTGACATGTCGATGTTTTATTAATAGGTCTTTGTTCTGTACTTTTTTTTTGTTGTTGTTGTGATAATTCAAAATTGCTTTCCAAAATTATTGATTTTGTAGAATTTTTTGAATGGTTATTTGTAGTACTAACATTTTTGCTTATTTTTTTCTGTATTATATGAGCTTTTTTAATATTTGTGATTTTGGTAAAAATACGCGTGCATAATTTTACGACCAAAGCTGCTACGGGGGATTTCCAACCGTTTCATTATTTTGAGATACGTGGATAAAATAGTTTACGGGGCCAGGTAATTGTTAATCTATATTCCACTTGCTTAATTTCATTTAGGATTTGATAGTGGTTTAAGTGTGAAATGTTATATTACATCTGTATCAGCTACGTATTTTAACTGCATTTAACACTGCTGGTGTCTGATGTTCTTGCCAAGAAATGGTTTTGCCCTGTTTTATTTTTTCTTTAGTAGTGGTTTTCACTTCTTATCCTGAGTGCTTTATTAATTTATTAATGATGCAGAGATTTGTTTTTACTGTACGTTTGTCATGATTATGACTTTATCAGCGTAATTTCTTTCGTTTTTTTTTTGTTGTTGGTTGAATAAAAGTGTTATGTTCATTCTTGATTTACTCGAGGAATAGGCTTTTCAAAAATTGCTTTGACGGTAATATTGAGTACAACGTGGTATTTGAATTTTTCTGAATGGGGGAAAAAATTAGCTTGATGTATATAATTACAGTTCGGGTGAAGTCTGCAGTGCTTAAGACTGGTCGCTTTGTTGATAAGGTTGCTGGGAAAGAAGATGGGGTTGTGCATTTGCCGGGTTCGAATTGGCAAACTTACCTAGTACTTGAAATGTATCAAAATTTTATTTATTTGGCCAAGAGACTTTTAAGGGAATTGGACAATTATAAAGCTAAAAAAAATTTAGTATTTAGTGTTTATGAAAAAAAATTTGCTTACGTCGGCAGTATAGGTAAATTGTGTTTTTTTGGCAAAACTGTTAAAAGTTGTAAGTCTTTAACGCATCTAAGTAAATTTGGTGTGTATGAGCAGTCGGGAAGCTGTCCTAATTTGGCAGAAATCAAAATGGTAAGTAGAGTTTGTTTACTTTTGCGTTTGTCATGTATAACATTCAAGCGTTTAGTGGAATATTACCATCATCGGTATAGAGAAGACGAACAAAAAAATTATATACATATATAATTTTTGTATATATATAGATTCCGAGGTAACGTTCAGTGAAATGGTAGTTTCCTTTAAAAAGACACCAAGTAATTTTTTGTCGGTAAATGCATCGAATACTTACTGAGCGCGTGATGAACGTAAAAAACTCTTTTGTAACTTGTTTATGAAATCATTAATCTAAAAAGATTCATTTAACAAAGCTGAATGGACTGTTACCATCATAGTCAGTAAATTGATTCTATAACTTAACACTATGTGCTTTACTGAAAAGGAGAAGCTTTAAAATGAATGTCGAGCTACTGAAGAAAGTTAAAAAATTGATTATACGAGCAGAGCTTTTGATTTTAATCTACCACTGGTTTAGTCGCTTTGTACGTTTTACAAGTGCGCACCTGACTGGGTGTTATCATAACGTTTTTTTAAGCCACTAAATGAAGTAAGCCACTAAATGAAGTATTTCAGCTTAGTGGGATTGTAAAAGACTCAGCTGAACAAACCAAGAGATTCTGTTAAGCACTGCTAAAATCAACTGATTAACAGAATTACAGAGCACCCGAAAAAGATTGCCTATTTCAGACTACCAATGTTCCGTAACTGCCTGTAGTTGAAGGCATTAGAACTATCATTTTGAAGTAGCCGTGTGTCAAATATAAGTGCAGCTAGACACCTTGAAAACCTTACTGTGTCTTTATCAAAATTAAGCATTGTTTCGTTAAAAAAATTAAGCACTGTCTGGCACTTTATTTCAAGGTAAAGTTAAATAACTAATCATTTTATCTGTCAACAATTGTACTTTTGCAAATGTATTTTTTTCACAGTTAAAGACAGACTTTTTGATGGAACAAATAGGACAACGAAGAGCAAAAAACCTGAGTTGACAAAAGTATTTCGAAGATGATAACAGTTCAATCAGAACTGTTTATCTGGCAGTACAAAATCGACAGCTTCAATTTTATAAACTTTGTAGATTTCGTATGGCAAATTTGCAGTATCTGCTGCATCAATCGTTGGTTATTCCTCTGCTATTCCATTGTCATTTCTTATTTATTCTCGACCTTATCGGCTCTCTTCCACAGAATCTCGAATGGCTACAGACTTTTACACATTTTTTCATAAATCGTTTACACATTCTCGGCAATAAACTAAGGACTGTTGATAAAAGCGTACAAGACGCTAAAATTTTTGTAAGGTGGAAAGGAGGCAGCGGGGCGCAGTGACGCTAAAAGTTGTTAAATTTTAAACATTCTGATACATTAGTCAGACTGAAAAAAACAAAAATTTTTACCAAAAACAATTCAAAAATTTTAAACTATAACTGTCAATTTGGCTTTTATTCTGGATGTTTTATTGTATTGTAAATCAGCGCTTTTCTTATTTTTAAAATTTTGTATTCCGACGATGTGGCACTGTTTTTTCACATGTCACAGTGAAAAGGTATCACTTTTCTGTTTTACAGATATATTTTTATAAACAAAAGTTTAACATTTAATGCCAGTTATTCTAACCATATAAAAGTACAAATATCTTTTCCACAGTAAAGTAATAATAGGTTAGTATTTTTTAAAATTTGGTTGAATTAAGCAAAATAACTGTTTTGGTTGTTTCGGCAAAAAAATTTGCACCTAAATTGATGATAAACGCTTAGTTTTCTTCTATACGACATTCAAATTCATGCCCCCCACTTCCCCCCATTCCCCCCCCTCCCCCCTCAAAAAAAAAATAAGAATTATAATAATTCTTTTAACTGATTAATAATCATTCAGTTACTGAGAGGAAAAACAGAGGTTTTATTTCACGTCTTTACTATAATTTATATAAGCATAAAGCGCGGATTTTCTCAATAACTTTTAGAATAGGAATGAACCTTTACTTAGTTTCCAGTGGCTATAAGTTGGGTCTTACAGAAGCGTGTAGCTATATAATTCTTTTGATTTTAACATGTAGTTTTTGAAAGTTAAATAAGTCAATATTCTTTTGGCTGTGTAGTGTACAAAAGTGCACAAAATAAGCTACACTTTTGTGAGAGCAAGCAAAGAAACTTTTTACTTGATCATTCAGAGTATCAAGAAAACATAGAAAAGTAGGGACACAGTTGTTGGTTTTAAAAAGGTATAGTGTATTTGTTGTTGTTAGACTAAAGATAACCAGATTTTTCAAATTGTTGTTTAAAATTTCATTTTTTTATACGCAATGAATAACCTTTCCGAGATTGGTTAGTTAAAGACTTGCACAGCAAAAGTGTCAGAAAAAAAGATGTAGAAAACAGGTCTTCAAGTTTTGTTTATTGACTTGATAAGTTTGCAAATTACCTGTTTCTGCTTCTGTACTCCTCTGTTTATCGATTCCAATCAATCGTTTAGAAGTCTTAGTCTAGACTTGAGACATTTCCTAGAGTCTTGTGACAAAATCTCGGTGCTGTGGTTCAAACATACTTCAGCATTCCTGTTAACGAACATCCAGGTTGAAATTCCTCTATGATGTCAAGTCTGCTGCTGGCGAATGTGAATTCTGACAGTTAACTTTCTTTTACGTAAACGATAACAGAGTACACCTACGTATCATTTATTAATAGATGGAGAAAAAATTTACTGATAACATCAACCGCTAAATTTATTCAGGATAATAAGCAAAGCAGAATTCTTTATTCACTTTTTTTTGCAAAAACCATTCGATAAGTGGTTTGTGCAGACTTCCTCAATGTTTTAAATATGTCATACAACAGCGTTAGTCAAGAAGTTGTCTCATATCAGTGGTATGAAAAAGTGTATTCAATAAATTTTTAGAGAAAATATTGCTTATTTAATATTGATAATCTGGTATGCTGTTGAACAATTCATTTCAATCATGATTAGATGTTTGATAACTGACAGCTAGAATACTTCATAATATCACATTTTGCTTCTGCCTCGGTTGTTATAGTTTCAATTTTATTACATAAAGCAATGATCTATTAGTTTTGGTTGAGAATGAGATACTATAAACATTGCTGCCCGGTAGGTCGACTAATTTATAAATTGAATAATCAAAAAGAAAAAAAAAAGGAAGAGAAGATAAAGCTAAAAAAAATGCTGCAAAAAAAAATATCTATGACATATTATAAGAATTTGATGATATTATAAAGAAACTATTTGATGTTTTCGCCGTTCAAACATTTATTTCTTCGTAACAGTTTAGTAGTCAATAGGTAAAGTTGTTGTTGCATGAA